ATTTAAAAACTCTTCATCTGCCATAACACCCAGTACACTCCATTTGTCCTAACAACTAACTGGTTGCTAATTGATCATTCTGACTATTTTTGGTCAGGAAAATAGGTTAAAATGTGCATCCTAAATGTGACAAACGTGTGTCTAAAATGCGTTTCAGCGCTAACTTGTCCTCTAATCTTTATTTCCTCTGGTGTATTTTGTATTGTTGGTGATTTAAAGTGAAGTTCTGTCCATCCGCTGATCTACTTTCATGCCTTGCTTGGAAGACGGGACTTTGTTTTGAGCTGATCATTTAAAATCGTTGGTTCGTGTTCTTGTTGAGCGTGCTGTCTGATTGCGTTTATATTGTGTTTCTGCCATTAAGGATCCTCTTGCAGATGAGACGTCACCCCTCGAGGGGTTATTCCTCACAGCGAATCCTGATAAATGACCCTCTGCCTCAGTGAAGGTGGACGGCGTCTACTTGATCTCTGACCTGCCGACCGATCAATACCACATTCAGTCAGGATCTGAACGTCAAAGCTGCACTGATCGGTATTTTAAATCGCCAACCGTAATGACGGAGTGTGACGATAAACGGCTCGTTGGTGTAATTACTCCACAGACCAACCACGAGACCAGGCAGAGAACAGCTACCTTTCATTAAACGGGTTTTATTTGTGGTTCGGGGCAGCGAACGCCGTCAGCAGCCCACAGAAAACGACTACACTTACATTTAAAGCTAGCTACACACTGTTCAGCTAATTACAGTCACTTAATTACCTCCGTCAGCGCAAACTTCACAGCGGCTGCCAGCTCGCATTAGCCTTGAATTACAGGTTAATGAATACTGAATTGAATACTCAAGGAGCCGGAGCGTTTAATTAGAAAATAAAATGACAAAAATAGCCCCGAATGAAAACAACCAATCAATCAACAATGGACAGTCTGGTGGACAAACATAGAACTGAACATTAGGGACGGAAATCATAAACAGTTTTCTTAAACAACAACGTTATCAATCAAATAGTGAGCGTAATTTAACATGCAGATAGTTAGCTTAGCTTGGCTAGATTTATCACTCAACTTTAGGAATGCTGTCCAAATCTTGAGTTCTGGTTGGAGGTCATTAACCTCCACGGACGTCGTTGTCATGGCGCCCGTTGCTAGCTAAACACCCACAATGCTCTCTGCTCACCAACAGGAACTACCTGAGTGACACTTTCTGACAAGCATGACCTTCTTCTTTTGCCTTATCGATTATTTTATGTTTAATCGGCTAAATTATAACAAGAATTAGCTGATGATACGTTTTGCCTGTGACAAGTTGGGAAGTGCCAACAACCAGTAAAAAAACAAAAAAGTCAGCCTGGAGTCCTGTGTGGACTTTACCTAGCGTTGTTCGGTAAACGGCTACGTATGCAGTGACGTACGGCGTACGACTCTAACTTGGCTCCTCGCCAGTGGAAGAGTTGGAACCAACTAAACACTGGAACTAGCACCTGGTTCTTCTTGGTGGAAAAGGGGTACGTGACACTCCACCTGGTGGAACAACCAGGTACTACAGCTGATCTACAACACACTTCCTGACACGCATGACCTTCTTCTTCTAACATTTTTAATTGGCTAAATTACTACTGGCGCTCAGTTAGCTCTGAACGAAGGCTAATCACAAAAGTGCTGTTTTCACCAAAGTATTTTAAACGGAACACACCGAGGTTGAGTTTACAGCTTGTTTCACTAAGTGAGGAAAAACAAACCCTAATTTAAAACACACAGCATTTAAGGTATTTGAATGGGCTCATCAGCAACACTTTAATATAAATGCATAGCACAATGTTTAATTATTAAAGAGTTCTGCTCATGAAATGCACTTAGGGTTTAATTTTACTGCAAAACTGTCGGCTTCATTTATCATTAGCCCACATGATATATCTGCGATTACATTAATGTTTTTTTCTGGCCAATTTAACTGTCAGGCAACACTTTTAAATCCCTAAATTATGCCCCAACTGTCATTAATATTCATCGTGCTTCTCACCACTACTATCACCCCATCTGTCTTTTTTTTATTTTAATATATAAGAATACAATCCAGCCAGTGAAAGAAACGAGCGTTTAATGGAGCCTTCAGGAGACGGTGATCCGGTTCAGACGTTCCTCTGAGTTGTCGCCACGTAAAGCCGAGGTCACACGTTCACACGGCGCTCCTGAAATAACACCGAGCTCCAGTCACACCTGCTTCGGACCACAAATTGCCCCCCGTAGCCGTCATCTGTCCGTTCACGCCGGCCGTCCGCAGAAACACCTGGCGCCGGCCGGCTTAATATAACCAATAACGACCGTCTGTAAAAGCGACCGCCACCAGCGTCACCAGACTTCAGTGAAAAGCTGCTGCTGCTGTGGATGCACAACCTGACAGATCATTCCGGTGGTTTTTTCCTTTAATTTTACCTTTAAGCAGCTTTCCATTAGCGCTCTCCATTATCCAAAGAGCGCCGAATGCTTTTTCCTTCTCTGTCACCGCAGCGTGAGAATCGATTTGCAGCACAGTTACCGTCATCGTGACCTTTACGTGTTCGTCAAGGCGTCGCGAGCGGAAGGTGGGGTGAAGTGAAAACCACCACGAAACACAGGAACGGACCGACGGGAACTCTGCTGCTTGACATCTGCGACTTTGCTGCACAGAACAACTCCATATCGGGGTTGGTTTTCCACCAGCGCGCATAAATCAGGCCTGTAATCGACGCTGCCTCCCAAAACCTGCAGGTACTTTTAAAAAAACATCAAAAAGCATCAAAATTATAACGTTTTTAGAGCCAGAAACCGTAAAAATGTTGGATTTCCAACTTTCCAACAGTCCTTGAACTGCTCATCTCTGAGCAGCTGTTCCATCCTAAATAATGACCAAATGTGACCAAATATGAGCTTAAAAGTGTTCAAACTACTCCATTTGTCTCATTAAACACACTTGCTAGAACTAAACTGTTTGCAGGAACCAGATTCTGTAAAATATAAAAAATTCTGTCCGTCTTGGCGCCTGTGAAAAGCTACGACAGCCACGTCACAAACATTCAGAAACTTTTTGGCGTTACTGTGTTTAAGAAACAAAGCAGCAAAAAGCCAAATCCGTTTTGAGAAATTCAAATGTGAAGGATTAGTATGAGAGGACTGATTCCACTCGCTGGTGGTTCCTAAAGCTTCGAGTAAAGAAGAAGAAGAAACAGAAAATCAGACATTTTTTATAATTTTACAGGAAGTAGTCATGAGTGACAAGACGTTATGTTTAAAAATAATAAAAATAAATTAAAATTAAAATCTGTCTATCACTATCGACTCACTTTATGAGTCTCATTCAAAATTCTGCCAAGACAGAAACCATCTGCACCAGATTGAGTAAAAAGCACAAAAAAAACCAAAAGAAGCCACGACTGACCAACAGTCACGACAAAAAAAATCCGTACTGAGCTGAACTGCAGGCAGCGTGAGAAGTAAAGCATCCATCCATCATCTCTACACCTTCATCCTCACCAGGG